ACACTGCCTGAGCACCTGGCATGTTCCATGGTGTGCCCTCGGGAACACGGAGGAAGTGAGGACAGGGAGTTTAGACCTGCACTGCACAGGACACTATGTGAAGTGCTGGGATTCACACCGGCTCTGTCACCCCCGAGGCTGCCTCTTTCACTACCTCACCTTGTCTGTGAAGTCAGCTGGCCCTGTTCCCCACCACTGCCAGAATCCCTTCTCCTACCCAGAAGACACGGGCTAGGCTCATAGTGACTCTTGAAATACATGGATGGATGGTAGGAGGAAGGAGTAAGTCAATGTGTTTTTGAGTTCTACAGCATTTGGGTTTGGTTTTTTTGGTACCGGAAATCGAACTCGGGACCTTGTGGTTGTGAGGCTGGCGCTGGAAACACTGAGCTAAATCCCCAGCTACAGCATTTGAGTTTTAACTCTAAGCCTTGGTTTTCCAGTTGAAAGCACCCTCCTTTGAAATGAAAAGCAGAAGAAACAAACATAAAAATTAAAGCAACTCCAAATTAAATCCACTGAAGGTCTCTGGGTCCTAGATATGTAATGCCCAAGAGGTGGGCCCTGTAGGGCCAGGATAGTGGCAGAAAGAACATGGGTGGGTGGGGAGAGGCCAGCTCCCTTCTCCTGACCAGGAGTCTCTTTTAACCACACATGGCTGCTGCTGGTCCTGTAAACCTCTATTCCGGCTGAGCTATCATATTAATCATCCTAAGACCCTTTCTTATACCCTGCTTGGTCCATTCCCTCAGTATCTCTCTCCTGGACAGTTTCTTTGATTTCCTGAGCTAGGTGGACTCCCTCCTCCATCCCTGTATCACTGTCCCGATGTGCATCATGTAATACAATAGAATATATTCATTTGTTTGTCTATTCATTTGTTCAGGTCCCTCAATTTCCTTAGCTGACCATGTCCCAGTTACGGAGCACCCACATGGTGCACCCACATGGTGGGGTGTAGTTCTAAGCACTTGAGATGCTATAGCGAACATGGCAGGTAAAACCCTCTTCCTTCCTGGAATTTCCAGTATAGTGGGCCAGGCAGACACTAGACAGGGAAACAAGCAAATCTCTAGTCCATTTCAGGAGTCAATAGGTGCCATAAAGTAAAACAAAGCTGGTAGGATAGACAGCAGCAAAACTGAGTCTGTTCAGAAGAGGTAATCAAAGGGGGCCTATGGGAAGGTCGTGTCTGAACAGAGCTCTTTGGACCAAAACCATGGACACAAAAATGGGCCCGATGGGTCTCAGCCCTCAAAGAACTCACAGTCTAGCAGGGAAGAGACAAGCTGACCTTATCACAACTGTGCAGGACCAGATCTGCCTCATCTGAACATCCCCAAATGATGGAAATCAGTGATCTTTCCAGATTCAAATATGGCCCTCATTTGGCCCTCAATGGCTCAAGAATCTTCAGTTGCTCCCTCACTGCCCTCAGCTCAAATACAAACTCCTCAGCCTTTCCCCCTAGCTGTGCAGGGCCTGTCCCACACACTCGTTCTCAGTCCCACCCCCACTGCTGCCCTCCATGCCCATCTGCCTCAGAGACACCCAAGTCAGGGCCTGATCATGGGCCACGCCCATGCCTTCCCAGAGACTGTTTCCTTTTCCAGGCCAAATTCCCCTTGTCCTTGTAGTCCCCCAAGTCAAACTCCACAACTCATAAAAGCACCGTTCATTAGCATGTCAGGTGGTCGGGAAAGTTTCATTCCAGGAAGAACGGGTAGTGAGAAATAAGGCAAAGTGTAGAGCCATAAAAGATGAAATAACCCTCTTCCATCCTAAGCTGCTGCCCCCATGGCTCACAACTTCCTCCTGGCAGCACTCTGGGACACACTTCTCACATCCGCTCCTGCCAACTGTTTTCCCTGTCAGCTTGTCCCCAGTCTCCCTGCCCGCCCCAGGGCCCAGCATCACACCAGCCAGAGAGGAAGCTCCATCAATATTTAGAGAGCAAACGAAGAAATGTGAGAGGAGACCGACTCTCCCTAGACCTCAACCTTTGGATTCCATCTAATGGCAGGTCTGCCACGGTCTCTCCTGTTGGATGTGTCCCCTGGGCTTTTCCACCCCTCTCAAAGCCCCAATTCCAGATGTTCCACACTTTGTTATTCTTGGAGGGGTCTCATGGTTCGGGGGAGAGCTTACCACCCTAGCTCAGGAGCTCCCCCAACACACACACACACACACACACACACACACACACACACACACACACACTCCTCTCTCACATTCCACAGAATGGAGCTGGGGATTTCCTAGCACCTTAACACTGGAGTCAGCCCTGTTACCAGGTGAGAAGCCGAGAAGAGGGAAGGGGAGAGAGGGGAGTGGTGCCCACATGGCTCTGAGTGCTGGGAGCCTCTGTCCTGTTCCCAGGTTGTGCTGCTTCCAGGAGGACCTAAGTGTCCCCTGGATGTGCTGTGGGCAGCACTACTCATTACATCCTCTGCCCCATAAAGGCCGTATCCACTTCATGGCAGCGGGGGGGTGGGGGGGTTTCTCTGTCCTTGTCATGATCTGATCCTCACAAACAGCTCCTCCAACAAGTGGGACAGGCATTATTATCATCCTTATTTGACAGAGGGGAAAACTGAGGCTCAGGGAGAGGAGGTAGGGGATAAATGATGGGATCACAAGAGATTGGCTGGACCATTTCACACCCAGAGAAACTTAGGTCTCCACTGGGAAAGGAGTTGGTCCAGGGTCCCACAGTAAACTTGAAACCCTGATCCTCATACCATCTTCCCATCCATGAGCCCAGATCCATAGTAGCCCTGACAGACTAACTTCCTTGGTGCCTAGGGAGCAGGGAAAGAGGTGGCAGCAAGGGCCGGGGATTTAGCTCAGTGGTTCCACTGCCTGCCTTGCAAGTGCAAGGGCCCCAGTTCCATCCCCAGTACCAAAAAAACAGAGGTGGCAGCAAGGTTTCGGGTGCCTGCTGAGGCCCTCCTCCCACCCTGCTACAAATTCCCTCCCCACCCAAGTGGCAATCCAAGCAGCACCCCCTTCTGTGACATCAGCTGCCAACCAGCCCTGTGACCAGGACCAGCCAGGGTCCAGTCAGGCTACAGCCCACCAGATTTCAACCACCCCCTGCCAAGGCCACGCTGGACAGACATGGCCCTTCCATTTACCCCACAGTAATTAAAAACATACTCAGGCCTCTTCCAATTCGAGACAGGCCAATTTTCCTCCCCTCCAGCACCGCTGACTACAACCTAAATAGCAATATTTATGCCAAGCTCCCATAATACTGTAAACATCCCAACGTATAGCAGGCCAGCACATGAGTCATTTCCCCAAAGCCAGAGTTAATAAGTGGTACCTCGGCCATATTCTGGGGGCTCCTGCCAGCAGCGGGGCCCCACGGCTGCCCTCCACACCCAGGACCCATGGCACCCTGGTGCCCCAGCGGCCCCACTCTGGGAAACCGCAGGCAGCCACCAAATCCTCCAGGAGCCGGAGGACAGCTGCCTTGGTGCCAGAAACTGTGGCTGCCATCCAGGGACCCCCCCCCCCCACTCCCGCTGCGGTCACTAACACCATTACTGAAGAGAAAGCAAAGTTACAGCACGGGGTTCCCTATCATACCATCTAGAGGCTGTAGACCCTCGTGCCTCCTGATCAGTTTTTTACACTTCAAGAGGGGAATAGGCTCCTATCACCCCAAAGTGACCTGAGGAGAGGGCTTAGGGCTCACCCTTCAGCCCACAGTGGCAGAATCCTGGAAGGGGTCACTCTGTTTAGAGACAAGAAAACCCAGCAAAGTGAGTCCTGGTTCAAAGACTTTTGACCCAAGTTCTATTTTTTTCTACCCAATGGTCATGGGTGGGACACTGCAGTTTTCTGAGCCTCAGTTTCCCTGTTTGTTAAAAGGGAAGAACAGTCATACCATCTGGCTTTCCTGGAAGACTTATCTTGAAGAACTCAGCATAATCACGGGCTGGGAAGCACTTTGTAAGGCTGAAGTAGCTTGTCAACTGTAGCCCCGTTTGTAAACCAGAGAGCTGTGTGTAGTGCAAAGTACTTCATAAACTGTAAAGCGGTTTGAAAACTGTGAAGCGCAGTGCACCGGAGAGCCATTATTCATATTCATTTCTTGCCCTACAAGCTGGGCCATTCCTGGTGGACACACCCAGCCCCCACTAACAACTTTCCCTCCAGAGCAAGCTAGCTGGATAGACAGGGCAGCAGCTCCTGCTCTCCTGGGGGTCGGGTGGCACCAACACAAGAGGCCACAGGGAGAGGGCCCAGCGACCCTGGCCAAGGCCAACACATGGCAGGAGCATCTGGTCCGGCCCTGGTGGCAGCTGGAGAGTTCCCGGGGCTCCAGCCACCACGCTGAGCTCCGCTGCCCACGGGGCGGTGGCCGGCGAGGTATGCCCGAGACCCAGCGCGGCGGAGAGATGCCCACGGACCCATCCCCCGCGCAGTCTTCCCGGGGAGGGGACCCCATTGTACGCCGCGGGCGATGGGCAGGCACCCGCGCGCTCGCTTCCACTCTCGCCAGTGCCGGCGCTCCGGGGCGCCGGGCCCCATCGTGGGGGCGCGCAGACTGGGAGCCCCCACCCCGGCGAGGCGCGGTGCCTCCTCCCTCCGCTCCCTGCCAAACTTTCCAGCCCCGGCTGTGCTTCGGGGTCCCCGGCCCGCGCCCCTCCACCCGGTGCGGAGCGAGACCAGGCCGGCGCGGGGGGCTGTCCCGGCCGGGGGCGGCGAGCGCGCGTGGGCAGCCCCAGCCCTGGGCGGCGCTCGCCGGGCTGGCTACAAAGCCTCGGCAAGATGGTCCCTTCGCCTCCTCCTGGCACAGTCAATCAGCGCCCGCCGCTCCCCGGGCGCACGCGGGGCCAGCACCACCCGGCGCGGCCGGACACACCTCCCCGCGGCCACCTGCGCCCAGCGCCGGCCCCCGGGCAAACTTTGCGGCCGCGGGTGGAGGTGGGCGCCGGGGCTGCCGTGCCCGGCCGCTCCCCGCCCCCATCGCCCGCCCGCCCGCTCACCTTCCACGGCGGCGAGCAGCGGCAGCAGCAGCAGCGCGGCCCCCAGCCTCCGCAGGGCCATGGCTGCGCTTCCCAGCGCCTCGGGCCGCCGCGCCGCGGAACCCGGGCGGGAGCGCGCGCCCCGGGCTCGGGGGGCCGGGGGGAGCGGCTAGGCGCGGCGCACACACAGCCGCCGCCACCGCGCAGCCAGCAGAATGAGCCATCCAGCCCGGGCAAAACGGGGACCCGGGCTCCGCCAGCGCTGGGCACGGCCCACCTGAGCCGCGGGCGCGGGGGGAGCCCGGCCAGGCCCCTGCGCCCCCGCACGCACCCTGTGCCCCAGCCGGCAGCGCGCCACCTGGAGACCACGTTCTTCGGAGCCGGCGAGGTGACCCGCGGGCAGGGCTGGAGTTAGGGTGCGGCGACCCCGCGCGCCTGGGCAGCCAGGACCCCGAGTTCCCCCCGCGCAGCAGTGGACTCTCCCGACGCTGTGGCTCCTCCAGATAAAGCAGCGATTTCAACCCAAATGTTTCTCAATTTTTATTGAATGCTGCAAAGCCTGAGAGCGTCTGGAGCGGCTGACAGGGGCAGGGAGAGGGGACGGGGTGGGGGGAAGCCGGGAAGAGGCCGCCGGAGGCGGGGGCTGGCCCTACCTGTCAGGGCCCGAGTGCCACCCCCTCGCCTCAGCCCTGCTACCCGGTCCCTGCGGCTTCGAAGGGACCGAACTGCAATGAATGAAAAAAAAAGGGGGGGTGGGGGGGTGTAGCTGGGAACAAAACAGGCGGCTTTCCCAGGCGCTGGGGCTGGGCTGGGGCCTCCGACTGGGGGAGTGGGCCTTGGCGCTAACCCGTGGGCCGGGAAGCTCACACTGGCAGGGGCTGCTGGGCCCTGGCAGACAGACCCCAGGCCCTGGTCCCCGCCTTGTTGTTGTGAGCGAACCCACGAGCCCCTCCCTGCAGACCCTTCTATCAGTACATTGTACTTCTCTGGCTTCGTTGATCTGTTCCCACTGCAGCTTGGGCGTGGAGGGGTGGAGGTCGCCCAAAGGGATCCCTGGGGACTCCCCCCCCCCCCCGTGGGACGGACCTGTCTGTGCAGCCGGTTTTGTGCACAGCTATCCCTTTGGGGAGGACACAACCTCGTCCATCTCTGTGGGTCTGGCCCTGCTCTGACAGTCTTCATCACCATCATCATTAACAGACTTTGCCGAGGATGGTGGGGGGCGGTTGCAGGGGGCCTGCGGGACTCACCCAGGCCGGGCCCCTGGCCTTTGGGAGCCATATTCCAGACAGACAAGGCTTAACGAGGAGCTTCACACTCTGCAGTGGGTGTCAGAGCCCAGGGGAAGAAACCAGCCGTTTAACTCCAGTCTATGCCACCGAGACTTCTCCTGTCCCTTTGTCCCACAAACTACCAAAATGTCCCAGGAATCTTTCCCCTTTAGGGTGCACTCAACAGTCCCTACCAAGAAAATAGCACCATCGAAGGTTTGGAAAATCGAGTCACCTTTGGAAACTTCCAGAGCCCATCTAAAATGCACAGAACCTGGATGGTCACCGGGAGGAGATGGGCTGGAAGGAGTCAGAGCAGGCGTGAGCAAGGAAAGAACAGGCAGATTCCCTCTGAAACCTACAAACTCCTCATTAGGGCCCAGATCTACTGGAGGGCCCACCTTTATTTTCAGTACCTGAGTGTCAGACCTTCCAGGGGACACAGGGTTTGAGGGCCACAGAGCTTGTCCCACCTTGGGGCAGGACTCCCTCTCTCAGCTATGGCACTTCTCAGTACCAACCACAGGACACCCAATTCCAGAAATATTTATTGAGCATCCATTACGTGCAGGGTGGATTCAGCTCTTCTGTTTTGTTTCTATTTCCTGGGACCCTTGTCACCCACCCCTGATGGTTTCCCCCTTCTTGGAGGAAACAGGATACAGTGAAGACACATTTGTTGAGGACTTGGTACCAGGCCCTAGTCTGGGCTTTATGTGTACAATCTTTTCAATCCTATGAGGCAAAAGCAGACCTTTTCAGATGGTAAAAGAGAGGGCCAGAGGAGTTATTTGCCCAAGATCACACAGCAAGTTGGAAGTGGGATTCACCCCTATCTGTTGGACCCCAGTGCTGGTCCCTGTGCATGGGCATGTAGAGCGCAGGGATTCAACCAATGTCCCACATCTTGTGTCACAGATTCAGAAACTGAGGCCCTGAGAAGAAAGCAAATCACTGAAAGTTATGTAATTAAATAGACATCCATTCTGGACCTTTGCTGGTTAAACATAAAAATGATGATAATAATAAAATAAAGCACCTCTTCTCTTCCATTTTTTTCCCCTCCCTAAATGTGGCTTTATTCTTCACTTGGGATCCTGTCCTGCCAGGCCCTTCCTCCCTGGTCTCTTGGCAACTGCCTCCAGCTGCTCCTTTGTCCTGGCTGGGCACAGCACCTGGTTGCCTTCTTCACTCCAAAGGCAGGGGACCTGACCCCCGCCCACCAACACCCAGCAAGAGCTTTAGTGGACTCTGGTCTCCTCCCTCTCTGACCCACCCATTTGTTTATGGTGTTTCCTGATAGATGATCAGCCACGCACTGCACAGCCCCTTGCTTGCTGTCTCTCCCTGTCTGATTGTCTCTGATTTGCATATTATTTCTTCAACCCCTGCAGACTGAGAGCTACCTGTGGGTAGTGGCAGAAACAGGACACTCCCAGGGCAGGAGGCCCCGAGAGCATCAGACTCCGTCCCCCACTGTAGAAGAAGAGGAGGCTCAAAGCTTCATTTGTCTAATGACAACAGCTCCCCGCATTTGCAATCACGCTTTAACAGTTTACAAAGCAGCGTTCACACCCATCAACTCACTCATGCTAATTCAACCACCCCTTCCTGGGAGCCAGCCTGTGCCAGCCCAGCAGCAGCCCAGGCCCCGGAGCATCAGTTTGCAGAAACCCAGAAACTGGAACCCTGAAATGGGAAGGTACTTGCCCAAGGACATTCAGCAGATTTTGGTTTTGTGCCTCTGGAACAAGGCATCAGTGACCTGACTTGTCTATGTCTCTTTCAATTAAATTTGATTGACAGACATTAGTTGGGCATCTGCTGGTGCCAGGCACTGGGGAGGCAGGGCCACATCTGTGACAAGGCCCTGCTCTCCAGGACCCTGTATTCTGCTGCAGGGAGACCTACAGAGGGACAGGATAATGACAACAATGGTAAGTGCCAGGAAGATAGTAAGACAGGGTTGTGGGTGACTGACTGAGAGGAGGGGCCCAGTTTAGCCAGGTGGGTCTTTCTGAGGAGGGAACATGACGATGGAAAGCTAGACACAGAGGAGCATTGGGAATAGAATTCCAGGGGGAAGGGACAGCACATGCAAAGGCCCTGTGGCCAGGCCTGGTGTATACTTCCCAGGAGTTTCTGACTCTTCACCTTATCTTTCTGCCCAGATCCAGGACTTTTGGGAGACACCTGGCCTGTTTTGGGTCAGGCCACACCTACAGGCAGTGCCAGGCTGGGGGTCTTAGTACAGAGATGGCTCAAGTTCTAGTTCTGCCATCAGTTTGTGACCTCAGACAGGGCCCTTCCCCTCTCTGGGTCTGAACTGGAAGAGTCCTTTGTCTACCCTCAGGAAGCTCGTGAGCTAGTACCATCCTGAGCAAATATAACACAAGCCCGTATGTAATTTTAATTTTCTAGTAGCCACACTATAAAGAGTAAAATGTAGGCTGGGAGTGTAGCTCAGTGGTATAGCTCATACCAAGCATGCTCAAGGCCCTAGGTTCAATCCCCAGCACTTCTCAAGCCCCTGAAAGTAAAAGGACACAGACAGTTAATTTTAGTATATTTACTTAACCCAATATATCCAAAATGTCATTTCAACATGTAATTAGTGAGCTATTTTATATTTTTTGTACTGCCTTTGTGATCTACTGAGTATTTTCTATGTCAGCATCTCTCAATTTGCATTAGCCATGTGACTAGTGGCTGCCACACTGGGGTGAGAAGTGCTCTACAAAAGAGGTCACCCAAGCCCTCTGGGGACACAGTGGATGGAGTCACCACCTCTGCCTGTAGCAAGGAGGAAGGCTTCCTGGAGGCGGAGACATTGAAAGGAAAACCTCCCTGACAGCCTCTTTTAAGAAATCTTTTAGTATCTGTTCGTCCCCTTTTAAGAAAACTTTTTGTACCTTAACATGAAGGCAGTACCTGCCCCTTGTTAAAAAATAAAGAAGATGGGCCAGGGATTTAGCTCAGTGGTTCTGCTGCCTGCATTGCAAGCGCAAGGACACAAGTTCAATCCCCGGTACCAAAAAATAAATAAATAAAATAAATAAAAAATAAAGAAGATATAGGAGTGCTAAGAAGGAAGCTCAAAGCCACCCCTAATCTTCCCACCCCAAGAGCCACTGTTAATATTTTGTGGCCTGTTTCCCTGCAGGCATTTCTGTAGCATGTGCATTTGACGAATAACTACCACCCACTGTGTGTGCAGCATTGCATCTGTCCTTGTCCCACCTTGCACTCCAGAGTGTGTTTTTGTCTGGATTGTAAAAGCCATCATTGCTAATGGCTGTGTACTATTCCAGGGACAGGGACGGATGGGTCATAAAGCTAGCAGCTCTGTGCCTCCCAGCTTCACCTGCAGGGAGCCACAAACCTGGCTCCATTGTGGCTGCTCCTCTGAGTAGAGGGAGAGTGGAGCAGAGCAACCCGGGACAGCAGGCTCACCTGAAAGCCACCCTGTGTCTGACATCAGCCTGGGTCTTTGTGACTCTGAGCTGGAGGAGGCTAGGCTAGGCTGTGGGCTCGAGCGGTCAGTCTCTCGAATGCCACCTGGTGGCGCCCGGAGTTAATGTACTCTCCAGGAGCACAGAGAATGGAGGTGGTCTTGTCCCCACAGTAAGTGCTCCATATTCCCAGTTATCTGGTGCCAGAGGAAAACTAACTGCAGTGTATGAGGCTGGATCTCACATAACTACATCTTGTTGCTCTGTTTCTCAGGTTTCGGTCCTCACATCTAGGTACCCTCTGCTCCAGCCAAATTCTTGTCCTCAGTGCTCTGAGTACATGTTTCACTTTCCCCCCTGCTAGCTCTTCCCTTCCTCCACTTGCCTTGCATCCTGTCTTCTA